CCCCTGTATGAACCATATATACATTGTATGTGCCGCCCCAAAAATGGAGAGCTTGCTCGCAGGCTATTTCGGCAGAAAACGGGAAAAAGCTTTCCGCTGATTTTGATCTGGAATCGAGTACAGTTTTAAAGGGAACTACTGCGGTGTAAGAACGTATTTGTTGTTTCGATTCTAAATGAATAAGAAAGAAAGAAAGAGATATATACGAATTCGAAATGGTTTTTAAGAAATCTTTTTGTTAGCGTTAAGAGCCAAAATGGTCCTATTATGGCTCTTGTTAGTGTTCTAATTTAATTAGCTGCTGATGAGATAATTTCTGGGTCAGGGTCAGGTCCTCTAGAGATTCACTACGTCAGCTTAAACCAAGAAATCACTGACAGAAACTTTTAGAGTTTTTTGTTGCGTTTTCCACAAAATTAAATGTAATAATTCTATTGCTCTCATAAGTTTGTTCCGTGGAATATTTAGTTATTAGATTAAAACTTTGCATAGCAAAATCTCAGTTTCCTACACAAACCACTCCTATTTCTAAAAGAGGTAAATTACTTGAAAGTTTTTAGGTCTTTGATTTCTTTTTTTTTCTCTATAAAATTCATTAACGAAGTGACCTGGTGATCATTACCTTTTGCTAAGTGTTCATTCACATTTTGCTTGGTGTTGCTTTTTTGATGACACACAATCTGCTCGAAGAAAAGCGATAACAGTATTGATCAACTTCATTAAACAATTCATTCTGAAGCAACAAGAGAATTAAGAAGAACTAGAGAAGTTATGCACACCTCGCCTGCTGCTGACATTTTAGGTACAAATAAATGCTCCGGTCTTAATGCTTCGTTGAATGCAACTCGCGTTAAATGAGCTCGATTTTCAAATTAAGTGCATTTTTAACCGATCGTCGATCATATCCTCATATGATTTGCCATTGACCACAAATATTAAAATCCCGCAAGTATGTCACAATGGGTCCAGTAAATTTCTGATCACATCACAGGTTTCTGAAGCTGACGTTACGAGTGTGTTATGTCAAGAGAGGAGAGGCTTGGTTATGTTGGTTTCTCACTAGACAGTAGGTGTCGTGTTACAAGCGACTGTTCAGACGGGAAATATAATGTACTGAGGTCTGCGAACGCTAAATATCATATTATTTTTACTTTTTAGTCTCGTTTGCGTAAGCAGCGAGTTTCATAATCTGCAACGCGTTTTTCTTCGTATTTATGACACAAAAGGGGGAGTAATTGTCAGGGGCACCCAACGGCAATTTTCGGAAAATATCTGTTCGGAAGACGACTTGAGATCTAGAATTTTCGGAACATTTGTTGTAAAATTTCTTGCTTGCCTGCCTCTCCTAGAATTTTCGAACATCTACAAAATGGTATAATTACCCACTTTTAACGGATTTTTACCCTAAAAAAGGCCACCTAGAATTTTCGGGAGCCTTTTCCTCGCTGAAATTTTCGAAAAGGTAAGTTTTGATCCCTATAATTTTCGGACCACTAGACTTTCAGCTAGGAAATCCGAACAGATGAAAAGTTTTTAGGGGATAAAAATATGCCTATATCTACCGTTTAAATACTAAAATACGTTCAACAATGCTATGTTAAGTGGTTTTGAACTATATCCTCGTTGGGTGCCCCTGAATTGTGCCAGGCATTCCCAGCGGAGACGGTGGAAATTGGGACTAATGATCCTTGCTTGATCGAAACGATTTTCTATCGCTTCAAAGCTTTGGTTACTTTGGAACAAGTAAACACTACTGAGTGGACGAAAAACAATAAGAATCTTAATTAGCAAAACTGCGATGGTCGGGTGTTGTAAACTTTGATTGTATGCAAATGGTCTTATGATGCGATGACTGAAATCAGGGGCACCCAACGTCAATTTTCGGAAAACATCTGTTCGGAAGATGATTCGAGATCTAGAATTTTCGGAACATTTGCTGTAAAATTTCTTGCTCGTCTGCCTCTCCTAGGATTTTCGAACTTCTAAAATAAATGGTATAATTGTCCATTTTTAACGGATTTTTACCCTAAATAGGTCACCTAGAATTTTCGGGAGCCTTTTTTTTGTGTGGCTGAAATTTTCGAAAAGGTAAGTTTTGATCCCTATAATTTTCGGATCACCAGACTTTCAGCTAGGAAATTCGAACAGATGAAAAATTTTTAGGGATTAAAAATATGCCTATATCTACCGTTTAAATACTAAAATACGCTTAACAATGCTATGTTTAAGTGGTTTTGAACTATATTCTCGTTGGGTGCCCGTGATTGAAATGACGTGCCACGTAAATCACTTTTTTTCCCTGGCAATGATGTAATTTTTCCAGAATCTAGGCCGTTAAATTTTCGTGTATTTATACACGCGTATAGCCTGCGACAGCAGACGTATTCCCGGTCGTCACTAACAAGGATACTAAATCAATTCAGAAACAAATAAAAAGTATCGACATCGATAAAGTAGGAAGTCAAAAAAAAAAAAAACCTCTAGCGGGTAAATCCTGTTTTGTGTAGAATTAATAGCCTCTTCACTTCTCGATCTAATCTCCAAGCAAGCGTAAGAGCGTCGGTTCTTGTTTCCAATAAAAATTAATAAAGGAGACTTACCTTTGATGTATTCCTTTTTTTTTTTTTTTTTTTGTGAAATCATTGATACCGTATTTATTCGATTAACCGCCCTGGGTGCTTATTAAATTTTTGGACCTTGAGGCTTATTTGAGGTGGGCGCACTGTTCGAAGCTGAGCGCTTATTAAATTTTCACTGTTCTCAGCAAGTGCAGTAAGTATATTTTGCAACAAAACAGTAAATGGTAATAACAAAAAGCAAAGATGTAACAAAGCAAGGTTTCTGTAAAATACTCTGAAGAAAACTCCGTCTTCATATACGGTCTCTTGTTATCTCTCAGTGGAGTTTTTGTGGGAGGGAGTGGGGTGGGGTGGGCGCTTATTAACTTGTTTTGTCTTTAGGATGGGTGCTTACTCGCGAGGTGGGCGCTAACTCGAGGTTGGGCGCTTATTCGAATAAATACGGTAATTAGTCGGATTTTTTTGGCTGTTATTGTGTGACCTTTGTCACCTTTCTTTATAATGGCAAGTAAAGGCAGCACAGAAACAAAAAACAAAACAAAACAAACAAAAAAAAACGCCGGCGGTTCCGAACAAAAACAGCCTTACAGAGCCGTTTAAATCGATGCCGTGATTCACATACAAAGTCTCAATGGTCGTTTGTAACGGGACACCGACTCTCTTGTGAGGAACACATGCACACTCGTAACGTAAGCTTGGGACACCTGTGATCACATGCACTAAGTGTGTATACAGTAGAACCTCGATGACTCGAACTAAGTCCAATTTCCCTTGGATTTCACCCTACTTGTCAGGAATTTTTTCTCGGTTAACACAAATTCGGATAACTCGAATTCCCCGCTAACGTTCCCTTGATCAGAAAGTAAAACGCAAAAAATAACAAACACTGGTCACTATTATTAATTGATCGATGAAAGGAACAGATCACGTTTCGTCATATAATGTTACCTTTTCTGATGAAATAAGAAAATTTGCAGTACTTCACTATATTCAAAAGTTCTAAGAAATCAGTAAATATCCATTTTTAACATGGCAAATTGAATCTTTCAATCCACCTCGATTGATAACTCAAACCTTCGCCAACTCGAACTGTTTTTCGTTTTCCTTCTGAGTTCGACTTTCAAAGGTTCTACAGTAACTGTATTTTCCATAATTTTATGTATTTATTTACTGCGAGGGGACTCTCAATAGATATCGTATGTATCTTTTATCATTTGAATTATTTTATTCTATCATTATTATTTTTTAAATGCATGTATTCTACGAGCATAATTAAAGATATTACGTTATCCGTGAAACGTTCTAGTGAGTGACTAGTGCTTAGAGTTGCGAGACACTGTTACACGACACGTTCAAATTTTGAAAGGTTCAGAGTTCTATGGGTTCCACAAGAGTTGCTCGTGTTCCTGTTTTGTTTTTGTACCATTCATCTCGCCTCATGTGACAATAATCTCCTTTTCTTTTCTTTGTTCGAGTCCCCTTGACCCTAGAATAGATTCGACAGGTGCGGATTTATTCATTTAATACCACAGGTAACCCAGGCTCTGTGATAATACCACAGTACGGTTGCAGTAAAATTACAGTGTTTGTACTGGGTAAAAATACTATCCAAAAATTTCTAGGAAATACTAAATAAAGATCAATGAAACTTTCTCTGCAGTTAATTGTTGTTGTCCTTATTGCTCCAACGATGTTTCGTGATAATTTGCAGTAATTTGCTCAAATTCACTCTATATACAATGATAATATACAAGGAAGGAAACACGAGATGCCATTTTCGCCGACATGCTCTCATTCAACACAACTTTTTCCACGAAATTCGAACTCCAACGGAAAATAAACATCCCAGGATCGTAGAAATAGGATAGCAGCAGATATAGAAACCAATGAAGGTTTCCCAGATAGAGAAACGAATCCCGCAGACTTTGACAAACTCGAAGGATATAATCCAAACAGACCGAGAATATGCTCGCCGAAGCAGCCGGGCCAGATCAACGCGCGGCCAATTGGAGCAATAAGGACAACAACAATTAACTGCAGAGTAAGTTTCATTGATCTTTATTTAGTATTTCCTAGACATTTTTGGATGGTATTTTTACCCAATACAAACACTGTAATTTTACTGGAACCGTACTGTACTACTATCACAGAGCCTGGGTTACCTGTGTTAATACAGTGAATCCGCTCACCGAAACCGCTTCTATTTAAAACCGCCTT